AGCCCCCTCCCCTGCCCATTAGTGGCTGTAGGACCTCCCTGACCTGTGGCTTCTCTTTGGTCTGACCTTGAAGGGGACAGTCCCTGCACCAGGTGCACTAAGGGGCAGGAGTGGGGAACCTGCAGCCTAGGTGGGTGAGGTCCCGGGATCAAAGCCAGTAACTGGGGGGTGGAGGGTGGGCGGAGGGGAGAGGGGGGCAGGAGAGGGGGCACCTGGAACCTCTGTCACTGGAAGGCTGAGGCTATCAGCAAGGCAGAGGCTGAGACAGAGGCCCATGCTTTGTCTTGTGTGGTGCGTGCCAGGCCGTGATCAAGCTTCTGACTAGGGCTGTGGCCTTCTGGAAGAGGGTGGCCTCTGAGGAGGGACATCACCTGAGGTCACTACCACCCCCACCACGTACCCTCTCTCAGTCCCTTTATCCTCCATGCATTGACCCTGGACAGAGGGGCTCCCTGACCCCTGGTCTGGTTGGCTGGTGGCAGGGATGGGGGAGCGGTGAGGGGAAAAGGGGTGTGGAGCAGCTCAAATTCGTGTGTGTGTGGGGGGGCTGTCCCCAAGTGCTGGAGACCCAGTGTCCTCCACGCTGGGCCCGCATCCACCCAGGCCACAGACTCTCTTGTCCATCCCTAGAGGCGCAGGTGGGGGCCAAGAAGGCCGTGGGGCACGTCCTTCCTCTACGTTTGCTCAGAAGTTCCTGCAGCAGATTCCTTTCTGTGTTTCCAGTAGAGTGGGCCCCTGATTAGAGCGTGTGTTTGCTTTAGTTTCACAAACGCACAGGTATTTGAAGCCAAGTGGACAGTCATCTATCCAGCAGCCCTTGAAGAGCCAGAGCTGCAGTTATTCTTTGATTCTGTTGGGATGGTCACGTGGATTTTTGTCTTTGTATTAGTTTTCTATTGCTGTCTTCACAAATCAGCACAAACCTACAAGTTCAATTGATCATCTTCCAGTTCTGTAGGCCAGAAGTTTGGTATGGGTCTTGCCAGGCCAGAATCCTGGTATTGGCAGGCTATGTTCCTTCCCGGAGATTCCGAGGGATAATCCCTTTCCTGTTTAGTTGGGTTATTGGCAGAATTCAGTACTTTGTGGTTGCAGGACCCAAGCCCCATTTTCTTGCTGTCTGTGAACTGAGGGCCGTTCCCAGCTTCTGGAGGCCACTACACTTTTTGGCTCCTGGCCCCTTTCTGCATCTTCCAAGTCCACAGTGGTGGCTTGAGTCTTTCTCACATGGCATTTGTCTAACCCACTCTTCCGCCTCCCTCTTCCACTTTTAATAATTTCTGTGGTTAGATAATCCAGGCTAATCTATGTATTCTAAGGTCAACTGATTCGAAGCCACATAGTGTCATCTGCAACTTTAATTCCCTATGGCAATGCATTCTCAAATTCTGAGGATTAGGACACAGGCAACCTTGAGAAACCATTTGTCTACCACACTCTCCTTTTCGGTTACTATGTATGGCATGTTCCATGATTGATTTTTTTTTTATCCTAACTTGAGGACATTTTTTCATTCTTTTTAGAGAACCAGGAAGAGAGAGAGAGAGAGAGAGAGAGAGAGAGAGAGGGAGAGAAACATCAATCCATTGTCTTTTCATACATGCCCTGCCCTGCCCAGGGACCAAACCTGCAACCTGGGCATGTGCCCTGACCTGGTATTGAAATTGCGACCCTTTGTTCTACAGGATGACGTTCCACCCAACTGACTGGCTAGGGCATGTGGCTGCTTTTTAAAAAAGATTTTATTATTTTTGTTTTTAGAGAGAGGGGAAGGGAGGTAGAAAGAGGGGGAGAAATATCAATGTGTGGTTGCCTGTCTGATGCCCCCCCAACTGGGGACCTGGCCCACAACCCAGGCATATACCCTGACTAGGAGTCGAACTGGTGACTCTTTGGTTTGTAGGCCAGCACTCAGTTCACTGAGCCACACCAGCCAGGGTGCGTGGGTGATTTTTAATTGATGAAACAACTTTGCTTTGCTGGGGTAAACTTCTATTAATTGCAGTGAGATTCCCTTTTAGTACCCTGCTAGATTAGGCAAATGGACAAATATTTTGGGGGCATACTTTTGCAATAGAAGTCAATGGAATATTTGAAGCTAAGTGGAAAGTCATATATCCATCACTCCTTGGAGGGCAGGGGCAGTGTACAACTTGCTCACTTTTGGATCCTAAAAACCTGCCCCAGATATGGCACTGAGTGTGTGACTCAGGGGACCACTTGAAAGCATTGCCCTGTTGGTGGGAATCAGGTAACAGGTGGGGGGGGTCACATGCCTGCCGTGAATAGTGTTAATTCTAAGATGTGTTGAGTACTGGTCTGTGCCAAGCACTGGGCTCAGGGCCCTAAGGGCATTCTTGACTTTTAATCCTCCAAAGACCTCCATAGTATTTTGTCAAGTCCATTTTCCATCCCGGTCAGGGAGGGACACAACCAGGGAGGAGAAGGCAGAGGCCTAGCTGCACTCAGACCTTGAGCCCAGGAGCCGCTTCCTGGCCTCTGTGCTCCCGCCCCTGAGGCGCTTCTTCCCACAGTGTGCCCAGGATGGCCCTTTAGAGGACAATCCTCTTTTGTCAGCATTCTCCTCCCAGCATGGACCTGGCCTTCCAGGAGATGTCAGCATCTCCCTGCAGCTTCTCTGCCAGGGGAGTTTCAGCCCCTGCAGAGGTGGCTGAACCTTAGCAAAGCTGCCTGTGGAGCACTGCTGCTTAGCCCTTTTTTCTCCCCCTTCCTTTCCAGTAGGGCAGAACACTGAGGGTGGGATGGTAGGACCCTAAAAGGTGTGAGGGCGGCCTGGTGGAAGCCAAGGGCTGTGAGAGGAGTGGATTAGAGTCTAATGGAAAGGCTGCCCAGCAGGGTCGGAGTATGCTGGTACACAGGAGGGCTGTGCCAATAAGCAAATGTACCGAGGATGCTGGGGGGTCAGGTTCTCCTGCCAGAAGGCGCTGTAGACATGGAACGGTGAAAGGTGACCGAGTTCTGGCATGGTTCCTGTGCTCTTGGACTGGCACTGAGGGTACTGGTGTAATCGCATGGTTTTCGATAGGCATACACAGAAGATCTGGGCTCTTAAACACTGTGCTCTCCAGTGAGAAAGACAAGGAATCCTTGGATAAATGACTGAATGAGTAGCCCTTTCAGTTTCCAACAAAACAAACCAAAGAACCGTGCATTAAGCGTGCCAACGAGGGGTTGTCTATACTGATAAACTATTTCTAGTAGAAGATACAGAGTCGAACCTTTATGCCTCTGACAACATCAGCGAACAGGGAGGGCAAGGAGAGAGTGAGGAAACAGGCAGACCAGTCCAGATGGGTGGGGGGGCAGGTTTAATAATCCAGGGAACTTACATGCAAGGCTTGTCTTGTGTGGCTGCAAGAATCGCAAAGTTCATGTAGAGGCCTTGACTGGGTTCAATCACTAGACCGTCCAGATGGTCTCAGCACCTTACTCTCCCAAGGCTCTGTCCTTGCAAAGGCTCTGGCCATGGGAATGGCGGGGGGAACATACATTCCAAGGACAGGGGCGGGAGTAAGAAGCCTCTGATTTTACGGGTCCAGCTCAAGGGTTAACTGGTGGCCACATCCTCCCACTGACTTCCTTCAACAGGTGGCTGGGGATTGTAATGAGATGATGGCAGCAAACCAACCAGCGCACTGCCTGGAGCTCCACAGGGTCCCACTGCGTGCCAGTTCCCTTCATTTGGTGTTCTGTCCTTAGAGTGATAAGGTCTGAGGGCAAATGTTGTCCAGACCTCATCACCTTGAATGCTCACAACCCCCGCCCCCATCCCAAAGGCTTCTTACTGGAAGTACATGAGTGCACGTGGCTGGCCTGGCCACACAGTAGTTGGTGGAGGAGCTGGGCTCAGGGGGCAGGTCTTAGCCAGAATGGGGCGTGCCTGCCTGCCTTCCTCCCTAGGCCAGAAGGGTGGTCCTCCCTCATCAGAGGGCCTCGGAGCTCTGGTCTGATTCTCTCCCATCTTAGTTGTGCCAGGCTACATGATTCCTGCAGTGGGCGTGAGGCCATCAGGGGGCTGACCAGGGCCATCGGGACAAAGGGGAGGGAAGGTCAGGGCACTGGCAGGGACTTGGGCCCATCCCTCCCGTGGTGGCAGATGTTGGGTCTCTTTTGCCAGGGTGCTTTGATCCCCGGGGAGCTCTTGGTGACAAGTGGGGAGTACGCCCAGGGCCCATACCCAGGCTTTGCTCCTCAGTGTGAGCACAATCCTGCATCCTCAGGACAGCTCCCTCCTGGCGCCTGTGGTCCTGTTTCGCTCTACCCTGGCCACTGAAGTCTTCCCCAGTCCTCCCTCACTCACCCTCTGCCCGCCCGCCCGCCCGCCACCCTCACCCCTACAGCAGCCTCAGAACCACTGGTCTGGCTTCTCTGGGGAGGCACCGGGACTGGAGCTCCAATGGCACAGTTAGGGTCTAAGGTGGGGAAACGGTAAGCTTCTGTCCCTGCAGTTGGTCTTCTCCAAAACTCTGCACCACCTGGCCAGCAGAGAGGTGAGGGGGACCTTACCACTTGCTGCTGCAGAGGGGCTTCTGGTGAGAGGAAATGATGTGTGGGCAGACTATTTCTCCTCACTCCCCTGAGCCTACCCTTGGGATTCAAGTGAATTAAGCACTTTCCAATACCTGGCTCTAAAATGAATGAAGACAAGACCTAGGTATTGGGTTATTCAAACAAAGGTTGTGAGTGGGACAATTGCCACCTGTGGGGCCAGGCCCCTGCTGCTGCCTTCTCCCCCCGGGGCCAGGGGGAGGCAGTGGTCCAGGTCAAGTGGCATCTCCAAGCCCCTCCTGAAGGGGCCCGACCCACTTACAGCCCTCTGAGGGTGCTCCCCTCCCAGCGATCCTGGGCTGAAGTAATGATCTCACCTGTGGCCCCTCTGCCCTCTAAGGCTATGGCACCACAGCAGAAACAGGAGGCTCCTCATTTTACTTACCTCATAGAACATGAGGGCTTTCATTTTTTTTTAACTTACAGAGACAATGAGATTTGACACCAGAAAGAAGAACATTCTCTGACCAGTACAGAGTTAACACACGCGGAAAATTGAAAGCCATGTCATTCAGGTTGGTGTCCCTGATTTTGTAGAAGTTCCGCGGCCTGGAAAACAGACTGCAAATAAATAAAGTGCACTGAAAACCCGCCGAGCAGCCAGGGCCCGGTGCGGTTGGGGAGGGGTGGGAAAGCAGAAGCAGCTCACTACTCAAGGCCAAAATGGCAAGAAAAGCAGTGGCAGGGACACAGGTAAGGACCAGTCCCTGGCCCCTCCCTAGCCATTGTCTGAGGGCAGAGACAGCCAAAGGAAGAGCCACAGAGCCTCCAGATGGGGTGGAGCTTCTCAGCAGGGCAGCAGGGCTGTGAGGCCAGGGGCCCTGGAGGCTCTGACACACATTTCTGCCTGTGGGACACAAGCACACGTTCAGGGAGCAGCCTCCCTCATCTCAAGCCTTCTCAGGCCTTCCTGCTCCCCAGCTGGCCCAGGAAGAGGATGCAGCTGGGGATCCACTCACCCAGAGGGCCTCACCCAGGTGAGACCTGGGCTTGAAAGGAGCCCATCTGTGTATCATCCCCAGGAAGGCCCCTGGTCCTCCTCCCAGCTTTTACAACCCCTGTTGCTCTGCTTTCTCTGAGGCTGTCCTGGGAGATCTATGCATGGAGCCAGCAGGCTGGCAGGCTCCCACAAGTGGTCCTGGGTGGACAGGGTTGGAATGGAGGAGGGGTCACCAGGAATAGGGACTCGCAGGAGACTTGGCACAAGGAAGGAAGCCGTCAGGCCCTGTCCATGAGAAACTGCTGGGGGCATGTGGGAGCCTTGGTCCAGCCTCAGTCCCCAGTCCCTGGGGTGAGCCAGGAGGAGTAATTCCCCCAGGACCCAGACTCCAGCTGGGCAGTTGAGTGGGGCAGATGCGGTGGCATTGGGCCACTCCGGGCCTGGGGCTGACCCCACTGCTGTGGGTTTTTGGTCCCACGATCTCTGAGTACTTGGGCCCAGAGCAACCAGTCACAGCAGATGTGGGACTGGGGGTGGGTGGTGAGGGCCGTGGTCTCTCCTGGCTCCCCTCTGGGCTGCTCCTGCCCATGCTGGAACACCTGTCAGTAGCACACCTGGGCCTCCAGGACCACTCCAAGCCCATCCAGAGGTGTCTCCCGTGTGATCCTGGGTGTCAGGAAGCCAAGCCTGGGGACAGAGAGATGCGGTCTTGTGTGGTTGCCAGTCCCCTCCCACCCCCCCCCCAGTTTGTCTTTTTACCTTCCTGGTCACATATTGTCCCCAGGGGCCACCCCCTCCTCTCCCAGCCAAGCCCAGAGGGTTGTGCCCAACTGCTGAGGAGCCCTTGGCCAAGCCTGGGATGGGCGGTGGGGGTTGAGGGGTGGGGGTGGGAAGACCTGGCTCTGTGGGGGAAGACCTCAGGTGCCCAGGGGATCCTGGGACTCATCTCTCTTTGCCCGTCTCAGCTTAGACTATCCTGCTGGTCTTCCCAGTCACTTCCAGCACCTCCCCAAGGAGAGCTGGTTGCCCACATTTTCCTAACCCTGAACCTCTCTCTCCCTAGATCCCCTGGGAGCCCTGTGATTCCCCTGCCCCATCCCACCATGCCAAGTCCTCCAGGAGACTGGGGAGTGGGTGGGGGCAGTGTAGGCCTAAGGAAGATTTAGCTTAACCACTTCTTATCTGTGTGACAAGGGCAACTATGCACTCCCAGAACCCCAGGTTCCGCTGTCATTAGGTAGAGAGAGTAGAACTCCCTCATGGTGTTGGTAGGAGATCTCAGTGCCCAGGTGACATGGTCCTTCTCCATGCCACAACCACACCCCTGGGTTACCCCACCTCTTGGGGCCTCTGCCTGCAAGGCCCTTCATCTCCTCCTCAGCCAACCCCTTCACCCTGCTGCTACCAGGAAGTTCTAGGGCCAAGGTTGGCTGGTGGGCAGAGGCTCGACTCTTGATGAGGCCAGAGAAGGGGCGAGTCACCAGCTACAGACACCAATTCCTGAAAGAAAGAATTGGAAACCTGAGAGTTGCCTCCCTACCCAAAGAGGTCCTCGGTTGTCCTGGTGTTGCCTCCTCTCCAAGCCCTTTCTCCATCTTCTCCCCCGCCCCCCCCACTTGAGAACTGCCCTCTGCTCAAGGAAATCCCCATTTCCCACATCCTTGGGGTTCACAGGGAACTCCTGGAGGTCGTGTGTGCCACAGGATGGCATTCTGTGGCACAGGGAGGGCTGTAGGTGGCAGAAGAGCAAAACTGTGGAGGACGGGGGCTGGGGAGAAAGGCACCTTTCCAGGCTTCCACAACTGCATCCTCGGAGAGGAAGGAGGAGAACGAAAGTGGCAGCAGTAGCCTCTTGGGAGGCAGACGGCATCCCCTGGCCCTGAAGACACAGTGCAGGGAGCTGCAGAGAGCCTGGGGCCTGAGGGCTGAGAAGGGGACAACCCTGGGGGTTCAGGCTGCCTGCCCAGGAGGGTGGAGAAGTGTGGCAGCATCTTTTCTCCTCCAGGGCCTCCCCGTGGGCCACCCCAGCCCATTCTCCTCCATTTCCTCTGGCTCTGGTGACACCTGCTGTGCCTCTGGGGAAAGGGGACCTGGAACCTGGCCGTGGGTGGGAGGGGGACACTGGGGGTCTCCATGGGAGATGGGCTGAACTGCTGACAGGTGCGATGTCTAAGCTACATCTGCCCCTGACCCCCAGTTTGGAATCACGACAAGGGACTCTGAAGATCTCGAGGCTGCCCTGCCTGCCTCTGCTGGTTCCGCAGCTCTCTGGTCTCGCTTCCTCGGGCCCGTTCCATATTTTGTCCCAACCCTCAAGGGGCCTTGAAGTCTAAATGTTATAGCAACCGCCTCCCTCCAGCCCGCAGGTCCAACCTCTCTCTGGCCGCCTACCTTTATGGTCAGGCCAGTCAAAGCATGCCCCTGCTGCCGCAGCATTTCTTCTTTCTGGTTTCCCCCTTTTGCCAACATAAGGCAACAGGTCGGTAACGTCCTTGAACGCAAAGTCACGGCCCGTATTCTGAGTTTTTTGTGCAATCCAGCACTGGACACGACGGGTGCGCGCAGGTTACGCCTGGGTCTGGCTTTAGGTGGCTCAGTGGCCAGCGTCCTTTCGCAGAGCTCAAGGGTCCAGAGGTCTGGGCCGCCCCGCCTCCTTTCCGTACCGCCTCCGGGAGATCTGGGCGGTTGCGCTGTCCTCCCTGCGGGCGGGTGGACGCACGGGCAGGCCGGCTGGCCCAGGACCCTCCTGTGGGTTGCTGTGGCCACAGGCGCTCACTCGATCCGCACTTGCAGGCGGACGTTGAGCATCACCGAGGCCACGATGTAGAAATAGGGGAAGTTCATGCGCAGCCTCCAGGCCAGATCAAAGAAGGTGAGAAGCGTGCGTGTGAGCCCCTTGCAGAAGATGCAGTAAGAGCCCCGGGTCGCTGCAGAGCGTGACAGTCGTACTGCCAGGCCCGACAGTGTCGCCACCGCTGCCACTGCTGACAGAGCTGTGGAAGCCGCCATGGGCCTGGCAGATGCAGACCTCGCCACCCTCTGGAGCACCAGCGGCTGGAGGTGGACGAGAGGCCTAGAGCGACCAGTCAGCCCTGGGCACTCTCCTGCCCAGCCCCGCCCTTAATCTCCTTCAGGCTGAGATCTGGTGCCGCAGCAGCCACTGGCTCTCCTCTGCTGCCCACGCACAGCCTAACCCCTTCTCTGGCTCCCTGATGGGTCGCCACCAGCGTAGCTCCGCCCCTACCGTAGCCAACCTTCTTCCAGCGTTTGGGGGTGGGGGACACAGAGCTGCTGCAGCTGATAGAGCCTAGACACAGGCACCTGCCCAGTCGGCAAGCCCAGGCTTCTAATAGCAGAGCCTCAGGGCCCAGGCTGTTTGGAAGGCGGTGTTCTCCAGGGATTACTTCTGTAGAAAGCCCTAAAGTGGATGGCGCAAGTTCTGGACTGGTACACAGATGCACAGAAAGCCCACCCACAATGCTCTGCCCATTCACACCATCACCCACTGTCTCCACAGAAAATCCCAGCCACCCAATCCATTGTACCTTCCTTTAATTTGCATTTCTCTGGTACCACTATGGAGTTTCACCAAACCCACAAAATACCCTTTCTGGTATATTTGCTAGTCATATGTATTTTTCTTTATTCGTGAATTGTCCCGCTGCCCTTACTGTTCACCCCATAGTGATTTCTAAGGTCTCCTCTTAGTCTGTCTTTGCCCTGGAGACTGCAGAAGGTCTTCTCAGACTCTCATTTGCCCTTTATGGCCTTTTTCTTGCTGGTTGTGTGGACAAAAAGGGGCCACATACTAACCTTGACAAGTCCAGGTGAGGCCTGCATGGTGGCCTTACAAACTCAGAGCCCTAAAGTAACCATGTAGGATGGTCTGAACAACAACACAAAAAATCTAACTAAAAGCAGATCCTGGCAAGGAGTCATGTCCTAGGGCAGTATTTTTCTCTAACAAAGATCAGTCTTTACCTTCACTGAGCCTATTTTCTTTGCATATAGGATAACATATCTGATAACATGCCCTTTTCCAGAGCCCACAAAGCACAGGCAATTGTTATTGTTATCATGTTAACTGTTGACTGTTAACTATCCTGTACCCAACCCAGTAAAAGAAGTATGTGTCTATTGTTTTACTTTTTGTCTAATCCCAGAGGCTTCCCTGCTTTGCTTTCTCCCACCTCCCTAATCTATCACCAAAAGATTTCAAATAACCCACTCACACCTCCTCTTTTGATTTTACTGTATAATGTAAGGTGCAAAATTGCCATTTTCCAGAGCATTTTTTCAATCTGTTGAAATTTTGCCTCCCAACAATTGTCAGTTTGGCTTGCATAAACTCATAAAAATTTTTTCAGGCTTGGACATTTCTTACTTAACAATGGGCTTAAAAGCTCTATCATGGTTTCATCTCATCTTTTTTCTAAACCAAATCCAACCCAAACTTGATCATGTTTTCAAGATTATTGAAATGCTCACACTTCATTCTAGTTATGACTTGAAAATCTGTCTGCAAGAAGTAGATCTATGGCCCTGGCTGGTGTGGCTCAGTGGATTGAGCACCAGACTGTGAAGCAAAGGGTTGCAGGTTCAATTCCCAGTCAGGGCACATGCCTGGGTTCCAGGCCAGGTCTCCAGTAGGGGGCTCATGAGGGTCAACTACACATTGATGTTTCTCTCCCTGTCTTTCTCTCTCCTTTTCCCTCTCTCTAAAAATAAATAAATAAGATCTTTAAAAAAACTTGTAGCCCTGGCTGGCATAGCTCAGTGGATTGAGCACAGGCTGGGAACCAAAGTGTCCCAGGTTCGATTCCCAGCCAGGGTACATTCCTGGGTTGCAGGCCATAACCCCCAGCAACCGCACATTGATCTCTCTCTCTCTCTCTCTCTCTCTCTCTCTCTCTCTCTCTCTCTCTCTCTCTCTCTCTCCCATTCCCTCCCTAAAAATAAATAAATAAAATATTAAAAAAAAAGAAAAAAAAACTTGTGAAGGTCATTCTTTAAGGAAAAAAAAGAAGTAGATTTATAAATATCTCATCCCACTTTTCACAAGGAGGGCTGGCCTGAGTATTAAGATCCTCTCAAAATGTCTGTTTACCATCACATGTGAACATCCCTATGGTATCCATGTAACTGTTTATGGAACCCAGCAGATTCATATACTGATTGAGCAATTATCATATCTACATGGTCATGAAAAAATAGCCACTTTCAGAGACACTAGATTATTGTGTGACATCATGATTTTATCAACAACATAACCATGTATAGGTATGAATGCATAAAAAATACCACAGCAGATATATCAAATTACTCAATATTGTTTACCTCTGGTTAAGATAGTAGAAAGGACGATAACATTTTTTACTATGTATATGTACATATACCCATATGTATATAAGTATTACTTGTGTAATACAATGAAAAAATAATTATTTGAAAAAGGGCCACAGAAATATAGATTTTAGCCACATAGAAACCTTTTGTTCCAGACTGGATCCAGCCTCATTCATTTGCAGAGCCTGTTTCCTCCAATCATTTCTGAAACCTCTCCTTGGACTTATCTCATATATTTTTACCATTCTATTTTGAGATAATTATAGACAAGAAGTTGCAAAAGTAGTACCAAAAAAACCCAAAGCCCTTGTGTCTTTCACCCAGCTTCCTTAATGGTGACATTTTCTATAAATGCAGTATAATATCAAACCCCAGAAATTTACATTGGTACATTATTTTCTACACCACAGGCCTAATTTAGCATTCACCATTTTTCTAACCTGCATTAATTTGTGTGTATATAATGTATTGCTCTAGCAATTTTTTCCCATGTCAGGATTTGCATAACCATCACTATAATCAAGATACAAAATTATTCCATCACCAGAAAAGAGCTCCTTTAGGCTATCACTTTGTTCTCACTCAGCCACCCCATACATATTTTGTTATAGTTATATCTATTTCCTTGTCTTTGGAGTATCCGTACGAAGTAGTTTGTGCCTAATTTTGGTTTTCACATGTTCGTTGTTAGTATATAGAACTGCCACTGATCTCTCATTAAGCTTTCTATCTTGAGATAATTGTAGATTTACATGTGCTTTTAAGAAAAAGCACAGAGAAATCCCATGTATTTTTTTAACCCAGTTTCTCACAATGGTAGCATCTTTCAAAACTAGAGTATACTATCAAAATCAGAATATTGACATTAGCCATCTATTTTGTTCAGATTTCCCCAATTTACTTGTTCTCGTGTGTGTGTGCAGGTGTCTGTATTCAGCTATATGCAATTTTATCACATGCATAGGTTTATGTATTGGCCACTACTGTTAAAAGACAGAATAGTTCCATCACCATACAGATCCCTCATGTTGCCGTTTTTTGACCACACCCATTTCCATTCTGTTCTCCTTTCTTAATGCCTGGCAACCACTAACCTGTTGTCTATTTTTATAATTTTGTCTTTTCAAGAATGTTATATAAATGGAATCTACAATCTGTATCATTTTGGGATTGGCTTTTTTCACTGAGCATCATTCTCTGGAGAGTCATCCAAGTTGTTAGGAATGTCAAATATTAATAGTTCATTTATTGTCATTGCTGAATAGTATTCTCTGGTATGGTTTTTCTATAGTTTGTGTACCATTCACCCATGAAGGAAATCAGGCTTGTTTCCAGTTTTTCACTATTAGGAATAAAGCTGCTGTAAATACTGGTTTACAGGTTATTGTATGAACAAAAATTTCCATTGATCTCAGATAAATGCCCTAGGGTGTGATTGCTGGATTATATGTTTTATTTTTTGAGACTCACAAACTGATTTCCAGAATGGCTGTAATATTTTACATTCCCATCAGCAATTTGTGAATGTATCCAGTTTCTCTGCATTCTCATCATCATTTGGTGTCTCTTTTTCTTTTTCTTTTTTTAGCCATTCTGACAGGTATATAGTGATATCTCATTGTGGTCTTAATTTGTATTTCCATAATAATAATGATGGTGAAAATCTTTGTATGTGCTTATTTTCTATATCTATAACCTCTTCAGTGAAAGGTCTTTGTCATTTTCTAAATGAACTGTTTTTGTTAAGTTTTGTTAGTTCTTTATATATTCTAGATATGAGTCCTTTGTCAGATATCTGGGTTGCAAATATTTTATTCCCAGTCTGTAGCTTGTCTTTTCATTTTGTTAACAAGGGATTTCTCAGAACAAAAGTTTTTAATTTTTTAAAAGATTTTATTTATTTATTTTTAGAGAGAGAGAAAGGGAAAGATAAAGACAGGGAAACATCAATGTGTAGTTGCCCCTCACGTGCCTCCTACTAGAGTACTGGATTGCAACCCAAGCATGTAGCCTGACAGGGAATCGAACTAGTGACCTTTTGCTTCACAGTCTGGTGCTCAATCCACTGAACCACAGCAGCCAGGGCAAAATTTTTAATTTTGATGAAGTTCAATTTATTTATGAATCATGGTTTTGGTGAATGAGAACCCTTTTATGAACCCTTACAGTTTCTTCTATGTTGTCTAAAAATTTTAAAGATCAATTTTATATCAGTCTGTGGTCCATTTTTAGTTAGTTTTTGTGTAAGGTTTGGAGGTTAAAGTACAGGTTTGATGTTTGACTATGAATGTCCAATTGCCAGAGCACAATTTCTATAAAGGCTATCCTTCCTCCTTTGAATTTCTTTTTAATCTTTGTCATATTTGAGCATATTTCTGAGGATCTATTTTGGTGTCCTGTATTCTGTTGCATTGACTTATGTGTCTATGCTTTCTTCAATACCATGCTGTCTTGATTACTGTAGTTATATAATATATGTTATTATTGGGTAGAATGATTTCTCCCACTATTTGTTTTTCAGCATTTCTTTAGCTATTCCAGTGCTTGTGTTTGTCTGTTTAATTTTAGAATACAAGTAAGTTTGTATATGGGTACAGAATTCTTTCTAGAAATACTATTAAACTTACAGACTAATTTGGAAGAGAATTGACATCATTTCTATGTTTAGTCTTCCAATCCATGAACATACTACATATTTTTATTTAGCTCTTCAATTTATTTCATCAAAACTTGTATAATTTCATGTATTCAGATTTTGTACATGTTTAATAAATATATTCCTAAATATTCATTT